GAAAGTCCTTCGGATGGCATGTGACGTCCCTCTGGTGGGGGGAGGGGTGTCATAGTAGGCACATTCATCCTCCTATGCATGGGACTTCTGGTTCTTGAAGACCATGATGGCTGAGCATTGCCTGTCCTGGTGCTCTGTGACCCAGAAGTCCTCCCAAGCACACAGTGCTAACATCAGCTTCTAAGTGTTCAGCAGTGGCCATCTCTGTTCCTCCTCAGTAGCAGACATTCAGCAGAAACAACCATACAACAAGGGGACTGTTGGTAGCTCTTGGAGACCTTTCCAACCAACTGCTGCAGTGGTTTTCTGCAGCAGGCTTTCCCTACGTGTGAACATTGGTAGGAGACCCTCCCAATGATCATCCCCAGATAACACACATATGTATGTTCACAAGAGTAGAGCTCTCTGTGACACTCTCAACAGCCTTAATGATTTCAGGAGGTAAATGTCATCGCTTACATGTATTTGGTAGCCCTTCTCTGAAACTCATCAGAAAGCAAGACCTCAAAGTAACAATGGTCCCTTGACATCATGTTAGTTTTCCATTAGGTATTCTGAGGAAATAGAGAATAATGTTTGTGAATATCCAGATCTAAATTTATAAGCAGGTAGGTGGAATAACTCCAAGCAGAAAAGATTTAAAAGTTTCTATTTTTAAAAAAAATCAATTAAGTCTCAATTATAATTTTTTTTAAAAAAAAGTATTATACAAGGCTTAGAAAATATCCTACCTCTCTATTAATGTTAGAAAGCTATGTCATAATCAAAGCCTTTAATCATTTACTGATATCTCTGGGAAGCCTTTTATTTAGAAGAAAATTAAAAATATAGAAAAAACTTCCCTGTTGTATTGTCAGAATATGCAGAATACGAAATGTTCATTTTTGCTTCGTGAAATGGTCTTTCTTAGAACTTTCCCTAGATGTCAGGTTGTACTGCCTTGTAAAATAACACAGAAACCAAAAGTGACATTTCTGAATCATTGCTCTAATAAAATCTACTGAGAGGAGTCTGTGAATTTTATATAACTAAGTTCATTTACTGGTATTATACTGGTATTCTATTTTTCAGTTAGTGATATAAAATAAAGTTTAGTTTAATTGCATTAGTTTATATATAGCCTAATTATAAGTCCTTCAAACTCATCCAGAGTGTGAATTAATGGTTGGTGTTCGAGAAATGCCTGTTGGAGAGAATCTGCTCCATTTAAAACTCTAATACCAAATTATATTCTCCCATAATGTTACAAGGTTGAATTTCTAGTTAAAGTGCTAATTAGTGATGCATATTTTCTCCTGCCTAATGAATGTCCTTCATTGTATTTATTTTAAAATGAAACATAAAATGCTAACTATATATTTTATATAGATAACTATATATTTATATATAAAACATGCACTGAGAATTTTACACATTTTTACATATAACATATATGTGTGTGTGTTTTATATATATGTGTGTGTGTATAAACATATAGCAAATACCAAATAATTAAAGTTTTAAGCCATGACTAAATTGTTAGCATATTAAGATCATCCACCTTTCTCTAAGTATTCTAAATGCTAAAGAAAGAACCCAAAGACATTTATTAAAAGCTATTTGACAAAAAAAAAGTTATTTGACTTGTTTTAATGTTTCTTCTGTAATTACTTGAGGAAGCCCTCTAAAGATCACTATGTCAGAAACAATTTTAAATTAACCAAACTTTTCCTACTACTTTGCTATTCTAATCAGCTATTATTGCATCATTTTTTCCAAGGTTAGGACATTTCTCATTGAAAAAAAGAGTTTTCATTGTAGCCATTTCAAAAGACTTCTTAGGTCTGTTTGATTTTTATTAACTTTTAGTAAGAATTTTAAAATATAAAATTATCCAATTTCACTTAAGACACTTGCCTGAACAAAGACAAGTATTGTATGTATGAATCTATTGCTAGAGCTAACCCAAGGATTCACCGCTGAAATTATTTCATATGTGCAGCAAAAGTTCTCATTTATTTTTCTGTCTTTGCTGCTACTACACACGGTAACTGAGCCCAGCTCCTGCCACACTCACTCCTGCTTTACCTCAAGGAGGATTGAGACCTAAGGCACGCCTTGTTCTCTGAACTCTTTTGTTTTCTGGCAGCCAACTAGCATTGCTGAATCCTAGCCCAAGACCAAGGTCATTCCCATTTTTATAGAATATTACACTAAGTCCAATTAGAGCCCTTCCATTCACACTAACTCTAAAACAGGCAATGAGCATCAAAATTCTGATTCCTCTAAATACTCATACATATATATGAGGTGGTGGTGTTTGTTTTTTTCTTTTTTTTCTTTTCTTTTTTTCTTTTTCTTTTCTTTTCCTTTTCTTTCTTTTTTTTAAGATAGAGAAAACTAAATTTCCAGGAAGAAAAAAAAATGATTTTCTTATAAATTCAATCCAAAGAACGCCTTTCTTTCTGAAAATACGTTTCTGGAAATAGGCACTAAGCATGACAAAACTCAGAGTCTGTTTCCAGAAAGGTTGATACAATCCCTGCGGGGAATTTTAAAATATTTGGACTGGATCAACACTTTGAAACTACAATGAAAATAAAGTAAGGATCATATCTCTCTCCCCTATAATTATCTTCCCCCGTAACTTCTAGCGGAGTTGCTATCAGATCCCACTGGATTTGAAGCAAGTGAGTTCTGACTTTTGGACCAAACGGAGGCATAGGAAAGCAGCTGATGGCACTGTCTAAACAGTTACGTGGATGTGCCACTCATTTCAAATGGCGACTAAGTGATCTTGGCGATTACAGACAGAGAGACTGTGCTTGGGTTTGTGATCCCCAAAATGGCTGTTACAGTGTCTCTGGATGACGTAAGCATTTTGATCAGCATTTGGCTCGCAGCTCTGCTTTAAATCTTCAGACCCAAAGTCAAGTTTAACCATGAAAGTGCGTGACCTAGTTGACAGTGAGAGAATGAATCTGTACATGATCTGCATGCCTGACCTACTAACCTGTGGGACACCCCCATTTCCCAGCATTACTGCACCCACTCCTGCCTCAGCCCTATCCCCAGGCCTTCCCCTACAGCAGTGCCCTCAGCTTCTGCCTGTTGAGCTCTGCCAAGGCATACCTCAGCCAGCTACAGTAGGGCTAATGTGAAGTTCTGTTGCTCAGTAGAGATGTCATGTCAGCGCTGGTTCAACGGATCTTTCGATGTCACCCAAATCTTCCTTTTGTATCATTCCACAGAGTTGCGTGCAAACTCCTGTTGTTCTGTTAACGGCATCACCTGTGACTTAAGTGTACAACACCTGTTTGCTATGTTGTTGTTGCTTTCTCAAGGGAACACGGGAGGGAGAGAAGTTTAATGGGGAAACCAAGGGGTGTTTGCTAGATTTTGGGAGAGCTTTTAAGAACTCATAGCTACAGCGCTTCCAGGGTCATAAAAGGTTATTATACTCAGCTTAAAAATAATAATGAATTCCACAGAGCCTTCAGGTTGACAGCTGCATGAGCTTTTAAGGGCAATGCATAACCAGCTTTATAAAGACTAGAAAAATAATAAGTCAGACATTTGAAAGAGAGAGAGAGAAAAAAAGCAAAGGTCAAAATATAAAATCAGAGAAAAACTCAATCTTGAAGTTAATTGCAGTCTGTTATTACTTTTACAAATAACTCATATAAAGATAAAATTCTATAATGAGCCAGGGATGGGCCAAAAAGTCAGGGGGAAAAGTGTTAATGTTAACGTTATAGTTCTTAAATGTTGTGCTATGTTTTAAGTGATATGTGTTAAAATATCCAAGACTAGGTGGAACAATCAGTACAAACAAGCCAACAACTAGAACAAATGGATGGAGACAATGGCTGAGAACAGAGCAAAGGCATGAGGTGTTCTCATTAGACACGTGCTCCCAGGAGGAGCCGAGGGCTGGCCACGATGCTAGCAAGGCTCACCTGCAATGTCAGGTGACCCACATACAGAAGAAATGCTCCAGGCTCTCAGCTGTGACGAGGCCCATGCATTTCTACAGGGCTCACGGTTTTGCTTCTTGTTTTTTCAAAGCCAGTTAGAAACATCCAGAAAGCCCTTGTCTCCTGCTTTCTATCTTTGGCAGCTCCCTCTGTCCCGAGTAACAGAATTCTAAAGTGCACAGAGAGCATGGTGCCGCTGGCCTCTTCCCCCAGACATGCACAGATCTGAGCCTTTCCTGGAGGCCCTAGCTTCTTAGCCTTTGGGATTTCTACAGCCTTTCAAGGGAGCTAGTGAAAGCTACACACTTCCTTTTGCTCCAAAAATGAGTATCTGAGCATATATAGACACCTTGAAAATTCTCCCCAGAAATCCCATGGTGTGTCAGGCCTTTTAGCTAGGACTCCTCTGTGAAACTTAGTTCCCAGCCAAACTTTATTTGTTTTGGGAGCTTGTCATATGTTTCCAACACCTGAGGAAATTAATTTCTCATGATTCTGTAAGACCAACAAAGTCAAAAGAGAGCAGCTTTGGGAACGCTGTTTATAAGTTAGTTTTAGTTGTGTCCATTTGAGAACAAACAACTGAATTTTGAGAGAGCAGAGTCCTTAGCAAGGAAAAAAATAAGAAATACTCTGCTCGTGACGTACAAATGAGATTGGAGTCAGGAAAAGACCTGCCAGGATAGAGTTTTGATTTTATAAATGTTTGTATTAAACAAATGAAGGTGACAGATACGATGATAGAAAGCCCTGTTTTAGGTCAGTCTTAGTGGGCATGCTATGTCATAGGACGTAGCATCCTATGTGACAGGCCTGTGGATCGGGGGCCTCACATACATGTGCATGTTTATATGTAAGCAGACCTGCATTCCCGAGTGCAGACTGCTGTCACTCTGAAGAAGGGAGCTGAGTACATCCAAGGCCGTCACAGAGACACTGCATCTACACAGCTGAATTCCAATGAGGGAAGTTAGCTGTCACCCACTAGTAAACCTTTATTTTAGCCTGTTGTTAGTATCTTACCTACAAAACCTTTCTCCCCAGATTTATGATTTTTCAGAGTACATTAGAATGTCCTGTTTGGGAACTGAAATTAATGGAAGTATGAATTATTCTAAGGCAAAAGCATTTCAAACTGAAATTTCCAGTCAATTTAAAAAAATAAAATAATTTAAGTGTATTCTTCCATTGTAACAGACAATTATGAATTGGTAAATCGCTTACTAAAATTTTCATGTTTTGTTTTTAAGATCAGTTAGCCTAGGGTTTCACTCTGAAGATAGAATCATTTTGACTTCTTCAGACTCAGCTTTAGGAAACACGGTGCTCACTCATTCACACAGAAACAAAATAATATTTATGCGCACACAGTGTATACCCAAAGGCATTATACATTTCCAGCTCAGGTGTGTTAGGTAAACCCAGACTAGCTAGAGAGAATGAACCTGCTTTCTGCTTGTGCTGCCTCTAAAATAATGTCATTTTCAGACAGGGGACTGGGGAGAACCGTCCATCACCTTGAGGCCTCCTAATGAAGCCACAGCCTCAACTCCTGTCCAGTACTGGCAACATCACCCAGAAAAACTCATCTTCCAGTCATGTGACTACAAAGCCTTTGTAAGTTACCCTAGACTTGGTGTTGGGGCACAAGTTGGGACTAGAAGTTCCTTGCTTAGTCTTCATTCATTGAAATTGTACCAAAATGTCCATCACTGACATTTCTAAAGGGTTTTCTTTTTTCCTCTTCCTGAAAATGTCCAGATATCTAGTGCTTTGGAACCTTGAAATCGCATCAGCATAAGTTTTGTTCTGTGTGTCTATATAAAGTTATGTAGATCAAAAATCATGTGATAAAGCACAATTTATTTATTTATTTATTTATTTACTTATTTATTTACTTATTTTTGAGACAGGATTTCTCCATGTAGCCCTGGTTGTCCTAGAACTCACTGTGTAGACCAGGCTGGCCCCAAACTCAGAGATCCAACTGCCTCTACCTCCCCAGGGCTGGGATTAAAGAGTGTACCACAGCCATCCTACTCAATAAAGCACAGTTTTAAATAGAATGATTGCCTAATGTTCACTGGGCCCTGGGTTCCACCCATAGCCATACACAGCAAGTAAAATCAAAGAGAGGTGAACACACATGCAGCAGATAGACATGTTTGCTGACCTTTGACCTCAGCGCATCAGTCTGCCACCTCATATAAATGCAGGATTCCCTCCATTGCCCTCAAGGTTGGGATTACAGTACCAAGTTCAGTTTGGTTTGCTTTGGTTTGTTTGTGTTTTGTTTTGTTTCTTTCTTTTTCTTCTTATAGGGTGAAGGGAATGGGTGCTTATTACAAAATGTTCAACAAATCCTGTATGCTTTGGAATGGATGATGATTGTCATGCTACGGGGTGGGAAAAAGATGGCTGAACCTTGAAACTGACTCTTTTTAGAAGAGATATTTCAATTAGGGCAAACTTTCCTAAAAACATAAAAGATAAGCATTTGGCTGAGATCGTTTTCCTTAATGATGAAGACACCTGATTATCTCCTCCCAGTCTGGGCTTACCTCACTTTGCTGTCTCCCTTCCTTGTGGTTCATCTTTCAACCCTGGATTTCTTTCAACAATTGTTCGAAAACTGTTGAAATGCCTTCCTCCAAAGGCCTCAGACAAGCCTTTGCCAACTAGCCTTCCTCATTCACATGGGCCGGTGCTCTCCTGGTCTTCAGGACCGATGCCTGTCCCTGCTCTAAGCCAAGTGCCTCCATGGGAGTGAGACACTGTCTTCTAAGCTCTTCCAGCATCCTTATTGTGGTTCAGATGCTAAAGCACACATAAAACTATTCCTAAGGGTACTGAAGAAAGGTGAAATAAAAGAGCCAACTGAAGTTTCAAAAAGCTGACAAATAAATTGATCTTTTTAAATGTGGGGGGATGGGAGGGAGGAAGGACAGACACAAAGGACATTTTGCTTATAATTATTTGTCCCAATCAGAATCTAGAAAATGTATGTGAAATACATAGCAGGAATCCATGACTCAGTTACGTAGCAGCAAAGTGGCGTATGCTTCTGGGGACATTTTCCTCTCTTCATCCAGCCCATCCTGTGTCGCTCTGCACCAGGGAGTCATCTCTGTTCCTATAAAATGAGAATGGCACACATTCTCAGATGGAGAAAGCACAGGGCACACAGCTGTAAATTTAAAAAAACAACAACAAATGTCCAAAACTGCATCTTCTGCTAAGAACAGCCCCGCTTTAATTACCTATGCTGCAGAATAAGCCCAAACGGGGGCCATGTTGCCTCGCTTGTCAGCTGTCGCATACAGCCCTGCAATTACACTGATACTGGCATGATTTATTTTTGCAGACATTGCTGCCTCCAAAAAAAAAAAATGGGAAAACATTTTTAGATACCCCCATTATGCAGTTATTTATGATTTGAAAGATGACATCTTTAGAAAATGCCATAACTTTTATGGAGATCAATCCGTAGCTCTCGGAAGCCGTAGCTAACTTTGCTGTATTCTCTGCATCTGTAAGGATTTAAAGTTATCAGCAATGCACAGTCAAGAAACCTAGCCAGTAGCCTTCCCGCCGTGTGTTTTTAAATCGTTACTCATATTTATACTCCCGTTTTTAATATGCCATTCCAATTTTGTGTGTGTGTGTTTTAGTATTTAGGTTCTATGCTGATAAAAGAGCTGAGGGGAACAGAGTCAACACAGGATGCTTGTGCAAAGATGCGGGTGAGTTTGCCAAACTGTTTTATCTTCGTAGCTGAAACACTAAGTACTGGGTGTACCCGCAAATTGCCACCTTTCAGATTTCCTGTTTTCTTCATCCGTTGCTCTGTTGATCACATTGGTGTTACATAAAAAGGTGTTTTGGTTTTGTTGGTGTTTACACTTGGTTTATCTGGCAATCGTTCATGATAAAGTCTCTCTGATATATTTTAGACCGTATTACATGTTGCTTTTAATTATTTTTAGAGAATGAAAGTTAACTGTACAAACACTGATCGCTCTCCAGATTGGAATCAGGGGAATCTTTAGTCTATTTCGGGAAAGCGTTTTAAGCACCAATTTGACAGTCTGAGAATCCTCACTGAAAAGACTTTTCTAATGCACCAAAACCCACCAAAAGCAGAAGTACTTCGAGTGCTTATGTAAGACTAACTTTGTTTGCGTGGATTCTTCCCAGATGTTCTTGGTTCTCTTTAAGTGTGAGAAGAACATTGGATTCTGGTGTGAGACACTGGAAGGCAGTCCGTATTGGCAGAAATGCAATTATGAATGTCCATGGTCGGTGACTGCTAGAACCTCGAGTTTACTTTAAGCAAAGTACATTACACTTTTTCTTCCCTAAGATTTGCATTCTTGCTCCCTCCAGAGCCAACCTGTGGATAATATGGAAATATTCAGCTATACTAGCAATTTAAGACTAATGGACCTGTTCCATATGGCAAATACTCAGAGTCAAATCTCAGATACTTAAAGAACAGGTCCTAGCTTTTATTTGTGACCAGCATAATTGGCATTAATTTCATCTGAGTGAATAGTTTGAAGTAATGTAAAACATATAGTTGAGCTAAAAACAGTTTTTAAATTTTATTTTTGTTTTGTTTTGAGACAGGGTTTCTCTGTGTAGCAGAGTCCTGGCTGTCCTGGGCTTGCTATATAGATCAGGCTGCCCTACTAACTCACAGAGATCTGACTGCCTCTGCTTCCTGAGTGCTGGAATTAAAGGTGTGGGCCACCACACCTGGCGAACTACAATAATTTTAAAGATAGATGTTAGTTGGAACTACATATGTGTGACTCTCCATGAAACCAAATGGTATACAATAGCTAGTTCTTGATGTAGTCTGACTCTCGATGTGACACTAACACATTTTAATCCTAGATGAGCTAGTACTGCTTTCTTGCCTTGGTGTCTTCTTATTCTCTGCAATGACTGCTGCTACTGATTACTGATTACAGTGTGTCCTGCTGCACTTAAAATCCCCATTTAAAATGAAGACACCAGGTCACAGGGAGAATAGCGTGACAACCCAGACCTGAATTTAAGTCTAACTCAAAAGCATGAACTCTCCAAAAACACTGGGTCCCCTGGTTCTCCAGAGCCTCTGTTCTCATCCTTAGAGAGTGACATGAGATCAGATGATTTTCCTGGTTTTATAATTCTGGGAATCTCGTATTCTGAATAGAAAATATCTGGCCTAACAATGAGAAAAAGAGAAAAGTTTCCAGGCATCAGGCCTCATAATGATTTCAGAGATTTCCAGGAGCCTGTCTAAGCAATGAATTTGGCATCTCTCAACTCATGCTATTAACTAAATCACCAGAGTCTGCCTGCTGCAGGGCCCAAGTCAGCATCGGCATTCCAATGTGCACGGAGCACCACTAAGATACACCAGCTTTGTGATGTGAATGGGTATCAGTCAGTTTCTCGAAACTCAATGGATCTAAAATCACATCCTCATAGCAATAGCAAAACCAATTTAATAGCCTCAACAGAGAATAATCGAGTTAAAGACTTGTCTGTTGCCTAAAATGAAACTTATGGGGGGAAAAAAACCTGCCTATTTAAAAACCATTCCTCTGTTCTTTGGGGCATTTTTTTTTCTGGTTTGCCTCCCTTTTGTGTTCATTTTCGATAGTTTATATGAAAATTGCAAGTTCATTGCTTCCTGGAATATCATAAAACCTTATTTACTATCTTGATTAAATAAATTTCAGGTCTTGATACAGTAACCCAAGTTGCATTGGCTGGAGTCCTTCAAAGCTAGAAGTGCGGATTGGAGCTGTTATCTGAGACTGTTGTATTGTGAATTAGAACTTTCACCGACTACAAATGGTGTGAATTTCAACTGTAGTTCATTTCCAGTCTGAAACCAAAGATGATCTTTTATGTTTGCCAGTAACTTGATGGCTGTCTTGCCTTATGTCCCAGTATAATCAAGTTCTTACCAGGAGACAGACTTTAGAACACTAATATTCTTGAAAGTCAATGAACAGTAAGAGTATTGGCTGAAGCATTGCAGACCAAAACTAAATTCAGTTTAATCTTTTAGTTGAGAAAAAGAAATTCTCCCTTTGCTACTATGCACTTTTGCTGAAATGAAAATTTCTCTGTAAGAAGTAAATCAGTCTGTACTGATTTGCAGAAGTGTTTTCATAACTGTGGTTTGCTAATGGAGATGTCTAAGATTGGGCTTTTACTTTCACTGCATTAGCCTTTTCCTGGAAGGGAGCAACATGCCAGCATGTGATTCTCCACTGGTAGAAGCATCACCTAAGATCTATCTTTAAACTGCCACCAGCCTACGGCATCCTGATAAATGACCCTGAAAAGACAGTTGTGGCCTTCTGAAGTCAGTTTGTTAGGGCTGAGAACAGTCAGCACTTGCGTGCCTAGCCCAAGAGAATTACATAGTGTTTCATTTATCCCGTGAGGTAGACACTGCCCTTATCCAAGATTCAAGGGTCTGGAAGTAATTTGAGTTACAATTCTTCTCATATCTGTACATATACATAATGAGTATTTATGGATTTTTGTTTCACATACACCTTGTTATCAAAGCCCAAAGATAACTTTGTGCAGTGTTTTAGCGCATGGTTGTTTTTGTTTGTGACCCATTGTGCAAAGTCAGCCATAGAATTTTCCATGTGTGCCATTGGGTTGGCATTCAGAAAGTATCAGCGTTTTGAGTGCCTTAGATTTTATATTTTTAGACTAGGGATGTTCCACCTGTGTTACTGCTGTCTTCAGCTTCCATGTCAGAACACAAAAGCCAGTGGAAGTTTAGTAACGTACCCTGGCAAGCTCCAGAATCAAGCACATCCAGGATTTACTCTGGGTTATTTAGTGTCTTGAAGTTTATAACAGCTGGAAAGGTGGGTCGTTTATGTATCTTAAGAAAGAGCTTCAGGAACCCTCAAGTAATCCATGATGTTAGCACCGGCCAGATCAAACCATCTGGGTGCAGATATCTCTAATAATATAGGATGAACCCCCCCAGTACATTAACATAAACTCAACTTTCAGCCGTGTTCCTATTACATGCTTATTAAGTTGGTTTTTTCCCACAGTTCTTACTTTAGGACATTCATTCTTGCTGAGGCAGAATCTGAACAACTTCCCCTTCTCAGAAGCATGGGGAGTATTTGATATTCACAACTGGTTAATTTCCATATCTTAAACCACCCATCCATCTCTAAGGTCTGAAATAGAAATAGCTTTCCTTTCTTTCCTGGTGTTTTATTGTGTGTATTACTTCAGTTAAAAACCTGTCAAGATAAATTAACATGCTAGATGGTATTTAATTCACGTTATTGTACAGCATGGAATAATTTCTTTGCTCAGGTGAAACTGTCTTTTTTTCCCCCCTCTTCCAAACAGTCTTAAGATGCTTTTAATTAATAGAGTTGATTTTTAATGGACTATTTTTTTTAAGCACACTTAGCTTTACAGAAAAGATTCAAGGAAGAAACAAGTGCTTCTTGTATGCTTGCTCCCTAACTGTCTGTTACTATTGCTGTGATGTAAAAGCATGACCAAGAACAAGCCGAGGAGGAAAGGGTTAATTTGCCTTACACTTCCAGATTGTAGTCCATCATTGAAGGTAGCCAGGACAAGAATTCAACCAGACAGAAATAGTTGCAAGAAGCAAGAGCTGATGCAGAGGTTGCTTACTGGCAGGCTTCACTTCACATGGTTTGCTCAGCCTGCTTTCTTTTAGAACCCAGCCCAGGAATGGCACCGCCCAAATGGGCTGGGCCCTCCTGGGCTGGGCCCTCTCCATCTAATTAAGAAAGGGCTGGGCCCTCCCCATCTAATTAAGAAAGGGCTGAGCCCTCCCCATCTAATTAAGAAAATGCCTTATCAATGCATTTTCTGAGTTGAGGTTCCCTCCTTTCAGGTAACTCTACCTTGTGTCAAGCTGACATAAAACTAGCCATCATAATTGAACCCTTGTCAACTTGACACACTAACACATGGTTAAGTCGTAACCTTTTCTTTCTTGTTCTCCCCGCCACCAAGATCACACATTAATATTATCATTATAGTATCTATCTATATATAGAGAGAGATAAAATATATCATATATAATATGATATATATCATAATGTTATCACTTCAAATTTTAAACATGTAACTAGCTCAATGTCCAATTATCTGGAGCTCATTCACGATCTTCTGGGCTCCTCCAAAAGGCATGAGTCACTTTTCTGGCTCTGTCTTCTTCAGTACACTCAGATTATCTTCTAGACGGAGGTGCTCTCCACTCTATTCTTGGTAGTCAACCCAAGGTACTGACAGCTCAAAAATGGTGTGGTGTACTCTCACCAGAAACTTCTCCTGGGGTCTTCTGAGACCACATGGTGCCTCTCAGCTGCTCTCCATGACCCGTGTCACACCATCTGGGTGACTCCTACACTACCATATCCAGCTGCCAGCATGAGGTACAACCTTGGACACCTCTGGAACACAGCTTCTGTGTCCTGACTCCCAGGAAACACTTCCCAGATCACCTCGATGATGCTGTTCTCTTCTTAATCACAACCAATTCTTCGGCCCCAGCTGACCAGAATCACAGATTCTTTACACAAAAGGCTCAGTCTTTGCTTCCTTCTGAAACTTCTCAAGCCAGGCTTCCATTGTCTACACCCTCTCAATATTCTTATATTCCTTCCAAGCTTCTACAGAACAAACAGCCCAAGCTCCCTGAGCTCTCAACCTTCAA